GTCGTGGGTGATGATCATACTCAGCATGGCTGAGGGCAGCAGGGGTAGCAGAAGCAGTCTGTTGGCGGTGCTAGGAGCAGTAATCATAGTAACACAGAGCTCCTGGCAATAACAAGCTCTGGCAATGGGAGCAGCAGCAGAAGCAGTGGCAATGCATGTGCTTAGGGGCTTTGGCATCATCATGGTATTAGCATGGGCATTAGCAGTAATGGCCATTGTCCTAATTGCCACTTGGGGAAACTGAGACAGAGGGGATTTCAGTGGCTGACACACAGCTGTTTAGTGACTTTTCCCTTCTAAGTGTCAAAACCAGAGGAAAGGTTGAAGGTGCTGGTTATTAAAGACGCTTGCAAATGTGCAGCGTGAATGAAGATCACAGAATCAATTCAAAACCTAGGTTCCAACTGCCGGTCTGGCTGGCTTTCTGCTAGGGCAGGGATACCGTGCCTGTCTGGCAGACGCCAAACCACCATGCTCATACAGTCACCGAAAGCCAGAGCCCCAAGCCCACCCTGCAGGTGTGGATGTGACTTCAGGGGCTGAGGCTCACACCGGGTCAAGTCTCCTCCCTGCCTAACTAATTCCCTTCTCCTGCTGCTCACTCACAAGGCCCCAAGCCAAGGTGCGGTCTACTTCCGTGACCCAGCTCTGCGAGCCTTGATTTTCACATATTCAACAGGAGACTGTTTAACCTCCTCCAAGGAGAGTCAGGAAGGAAGGATTGGGCTCAGCAGTTGCTTCATCCAGATCTTGGTTAGAAACTCCACAAGGACTGAGACAGGGAGTTGTTTTCTGTTGTTTGTTTTGTTTTAGTCACTGAGAAATCAAACACCTAGGAGGCAGAACTCAGAGGTCTCCATACACGTGTCCAGCAGCCCTGCCCAGCCCAGGGGGTAGCCTTGTCTCCTTCCTTTCCTCCTCTCCAACACCTACCTGATGGAAAAATGACTTAAACTGGAAATACTCATCGCCTGCGCCTTGATATCCATACCAGAACTGTCCTTGCTGAAGACCCATTTAATCACCTTTTCCCCAACCTTGTGAACTAGGGCCATGCCCTTTGGAGACAAGAAGCTGCAAAACCCCTGCTCCTGATTTGACTTCTCTCCCCCCCTCTTTCTTTCTTTCTTTCTCTCTCTCTCTGCCTCAGAAAAAGAGTTCTTAGCTGTAAGGGAATTGCACCTTTTCTTCTTCAGCTGGGCTGAAGAACAGCAGCTGCCCTTCTCAGGTTGAGTCTGATAAACCTGTTGGTTGTGGGTTTACCTCTGTGCCATTTTCATTTTTCATACTCCCAGTACTCAAACTAGTTTCTTAATATGTCCTCACATTTGGTGCCGAAACCCGGGACTTGAAGCCTGGGAACTGAAGAGTATTTCCTTACTCTCCTTCCTCTGGTTGTGTGCTCTGGGGAATTCTGCCTTGCTCTCCTGCTGGTGGACGCAACCATGTTTGCCGACTCCAACGGGCCAAGGAGGAGAGTCACTTCGCTTACGCTTGTGTCCTCATACCCCGTGTACAAGGCAGGGGCAAAATGCATGAGAAACGGCTGTGTGAATAAAGGCATCCTCCCCTTCATCCGTTTCTGCCTGGAAAATGGAGATTCCTCCTCTTTCCCACAATGTTATCCTCTATGGCTTTCTTCTCCCATACTTCCATCATAGAATAATTGGGGGAAAATGGTTATTAAAGAAGGCCTTGGGGGAGCATGGATTCTGCAGCAGCCAGGGTGTGAGCCCAGAGTTGCTCCACGTATGTGCGCTTTGCCATCCTTTCAACACTCAGGCGTGACTTGGGACCTTCTCCTGGCTCTGAAAAGCCCACATGTGGATGTCAGCTCTTCTGATGGTCTGCCTCTGGTACCTAGCCCCCAGAACACCTGCGGTGCACCAGGCTTAGGCTGCCTGGGCGGGGCGGGGGGGGGGGGGGGGGGGGGGGGGGGGGG